TGTAGATATATCTCTGGGCATATGAGTGTTTGAGTACTTAGGAGACTCCAAAAGCTTATCCTAAAGGTATAAACCTACAAACTGTTGACCATTCTGGCTCCATTCCAGCAAAGCACTTAAATATTTGGTGAACTCAGGAAGACTCTTCACATGCTTCAAGCACATCCATAAGCACTTGGCTGGAGCAGAGTTTGCTCCAGAGCCACACCTTGCACAAGAGAAATCTCCCCAGGCTAATCCTCATCTCTGTGCCTGCTGTGGCCATTGGCTTCCTCACAGCTACCAGCAGGTTGTGTCAACACTGACATTGTCTGGCCTTGCTGAAAGGGAAAAATGTTTCAGTGGATTCAGCATTCCACCTCAGTGCAATATCTAACAGGACAAGCAAGGTGGGAGGGAGGCAGTTTTGCAGGCAGTTCTGTAGACAAAAGATGTCCCTTCCCAGAACCAGCAGTCTCTGGGCAGCAATAAATCCACATGCTAAAAAATAAAGCAATTCCTAAAACAAACAATTCAGGCTTCGAAGTGTACAATAGGCAATTAGTTTGAATAATTGGGTGTAACTGTAGGCAGAGAGAAGCTACAAGACCAGATGTGCATATAAAACTAAACACAGGATCTAATCAAATCAATTCACCATCTGGAATGAGAAGAAGGATCATGTGACAGATCTGGTCAATATGTGAAAATGGTACAAATTTCTGGATAACGAGCTTCAGCTAAATCAATATGTCACATGAGTCAGAAATGGAAGCATCCATAAAATGGATTGCACCAGTTCAGCTAAATCACATCTGATTTTACTGCACTAATACCAAACTGGCATTAGGTGACTACCACAAATAACAAGCAGGGAGTATCAGAATCACATACCCACAGGTAGAAACAGCTCATGGCAGACTAAGGTTCATAAGCACGCTTCTGTCCATACAAAATAAATCCTACCTATCAAACTACTCTTTTCCAAGCAGTTGGTGTTAAAACCTTCCAGGCAGCTGTGTTTAAGTCAGAGAATGGATCCAGTCAGAGAATGGATCCTGGTTCATTGGAGCTACCTCAGGAGCAGGAGCTGCAGCAAGGGCTGGAAACAGAGGAAATGTATTGGTAAAGCCAAGAGTAGAGAGTTGGAGAGCACAGAGTTCTCCACTGCTAGACAAGGGGTGTTCAGTGGGCTGAGCTCAGGACTCTGGTGCTTTGGAGGCAGAGAGCAGAGCCTCCAGGAGGTGACAGCAAATTTATGTAATCTGTGGGGTTAAGCGTTTCGTGCAAAGCTTCACTGCCTTAGCAACATGTGAGTGCGTTTGTGGGTTTGCAGATTGACTCCAGTGCTCCAGCAGACCATCTTCCCCTTCTGCTGCCTCTCTGGAAATAGTTCAAGCCAGTGTGTTGTGCACATAACTGCTACTGGCTTTCCCAGCCTCCATAAATCATATTAAAAAGATAGACAAAACCTAGGGGTGTCAGCAAACCAACAGGGGGAGGGATTTTCCTGGCCTGAAGTGAGAGGAACTGGGGGAGACCATGTGGCTACTCCAACTGTTTTACACACAAGCATTTTGTTTATGGCCTGTGTGTGCAAAATATGGCAGAATAAAAAGCTCTCATGGGAGCTGGGAATCTGTCTGGCATGTGGCAAACCCCCATTATGACCCAGCCCTCTTCATCTGTCCTGTTGCCATGCCAGGGGTCTTTCTCCACAAGCCTTTTTTGCAGCAGGAGTCACCTGAGGTAAAACGATGTATTTAAGCATCACCAGCTCTCACAAACAGAGGCTCAAAGTATCCTGAAACAGCCCATGGATGTTGAAAGCCAATCGGGTGCTAAAGGTGAAGGGGAGGGACACCTTGAGCACCATGGTTTGACTGACTTTGTGGCTTGCTGTGCCTTTTTGCTTTTTTTGCTTTTTTTTCCAACAGCCCTGCATGTCACCATGGAGTCCAGCCCCCTTTCACGGGGGGATGTTAGAATAAATAACACATTTCAACACTCCTCCAGCTCACCTCACAGTCCCAATAACAACAGTGCAATATTCTTAAACTGCTTTTGCAAGCCTCCTTTCTACAGGGCAGTTGAAAGGGTACAAAAGCGTTTTAACAATTTTATAGCTCATCTCCAGAGCGCTATTGTGAGGTGGGAGAAGGGGAGTTTTGTTGCCATTTGCCCATGGACAGCTGCCAAGCTCACCTGTCTCCACTGAGCCAGGGAGGGCCATATCACATCTCTCTGGAAACTCTGCAGCCAGCTCTGGATGGCTTCTCACTTTACTTATCTGAAAAACACACGTTGCTCTGTTTAACCCTTTCCCAGCGCTCGCCTGGGGGTGTTGCTCAAAACAGGCAACTTCTGTTTGGGCTTAGGGAAAGTCAGAGCTGTGAGGTGGATTTGGAGAAACCTGAAACCAGGACCCTCCTGTGGAAACAACCTTCACCCAGTGAAAATTCCTCTAACCCTGCAAGTCATCCTACTGACCTCGGGCCAAGTGTCCACAGCTCTTCTTTGGCCACTCCCTGGTCAGAGTTAAGCAGCCTCCAAATCAGGCCCTTCTTTAAAAGCCTCCAATTCCACAAGGTGCTGAGTACATCCTCCTACAGGCCACTTAATTTTTGCACTTAATTTCTGCTTCTAATCTCAAAAATTATCATGAAAACCCTCCTGTGTAGGATTGACACAGGAGAACTGTGCAGTTTTGTTTGCAGGCGTTCAGGAAATGTTTGCCGATCCTCATGTGGAAGGTGTGACAGAAATGTGGTGTCATCTACTCCCCTGTGTAAGGATTTCCATCCCTACAAATAAATATTCTCCACCCTCCTCTTCTCCTGGAAAAAAAAAGAGTGCACAGAATTATTCCCTGTCACATTCTTTCACTGAGCTGGCAAAATACAGTGAAATCCAGCAGAGTTTAAATGATATGGAATATGCAGGCATAGCTTATCTAAGATAAAGCGTGCAGATCAAAATCAACAAAGCCTCACAAAAGAAAGCCCCAAAAGAGCTTTCATCTGCCTGATCCCATTTCCCTGCTTACACTTCTTTGTACCCTATTGCAATACATTAGTTCTGCTTTGGTTTCTGCTCTGCAGCAACATTTCTGCTTAAGAAAGATTCTGTTGAGTCATTACCAGCATCAGCCAAACAGGCTTTTCAAGAATGGAGGAGAAAATAAAGGCTGTGGTTTTCAAATTAATTCCATGCTGCTTAACCCTTAAACCACTAGTGACTTTCAGACTGTCAGCCAAGTCAGTGCTGAGCAGAATTTGGGGCTGTTGTGCCTGAGACAGAGCAATGACAGTGCTTTTGTCAGTGATTGATGGCTCAGGCAGTGCTGGGCATGCACCTGGAAAGCAGAAATTGTAGTGAAGGGCTCTGCTGTCCAAGCCACGTACTAAACACTCCCTTCTTGCTTGTAAACACTGCCTCAGATAACCCACACACCTAAACAGAGGCAGGGAGAAGGGCTTTTCTTACCAGAAGCTAGCAGTTGTAAATATAGAAATGGAAGAGAGACAAGCACATCTCTCCCTCTAGGATGTAGCAGAGATTCTCTACTCCTTCTTTCCCCAGCAGGTTGTATTTAGGAGACAATAGTGGTAACCAAAGAGATAAAACTTGAATAAGCTCCTGGTACCTTGAGGTTTGAGGGGCCCACAGGGGAGCCAACACTTGGAGTGAGAAGAGACAGAAGAGGCAAAAGTGGATAAGGTGATTTTCCTTGCCTTGGCTTTTAAAGCAATCTCAGCCTGCTAAGCTTTCAGTCCACGCTGCCAATGGCCATTTCCAAAGTTATCTTTGCTCAGAAAAAGGCTGGAATCGTTCTCTCTCCCTCTCATTCTCTCTGCCTCCCTTTTTAATGAAAGCTCAGTTTAGATCTGATATCACTCTAAAAGGTTTGCTATCAAAGTTTATTAGACCCACTGGGACAGATCACAGTTTGCAGAGGCTCACAGTTTCACAGCAGATAACTGTAAAGTGAACCATTCAATGTTCTTCAAAATGCTCCTTTTTCTTGGGCTCATCTATAACACAAAGCTGCACTGTGTTCAAGCATCATTAGAAGTGATCCCAGCTGATTACACGATGCTGGCCATAGTTCTGCCTTTGGAGCAAAGTCAGGCAGCCCCCAGCCCCCAGCCTGTCCCACTGGGCGATGCTGAGGTGAGTGGGAGCCATTTGCAGTGAAGGAAAGCCCTACCAGCACAAGGGGATAATACCAGCTATGTGCTCCTAAAAAAAGATCAGAAGTTTCAAAATACTAGGAAGCATGAGTGCAGCTTCCCTTTAAAAAATCATATTTGCCTTTCCCTGCTTAATGATAATGATATAATAATAACAATTAGGAAGGACTCCTCTACTAGGGACTAAAGCTGTGAAATTTCAGCTAGAAAGCAAAGAAATGAGAGAAGGAATTAGCATGCCTTCCTATAGAATGGCTGCTCCTTTTTTTTAATGAAGCCATTGGTGTCAATATGAGGTTTTTAGTAGGCTATCCTCCTAAAAGTGCATGGGAATAAACACCATATCTGGTGGGATCTCTGACTGTAACATGTATCACCGAGGCATCTATTTACAGTGGGAAGGGAGGGGAGGCTGTTCCATTTCCCAGGACAGGCATGGAAAGCATGATGTCCCACAAGCAAGGGTGGTGAGGGCTGGGAGAGGTACTGGGAAAAAAACATTCACAATAAGCTGAAGAGTGAAGGAGAGTTTCAGGGCAGATGTTTGCAGCATGCATCATCACCAGCCCTGGGAAAAGGCTGAGAGACAAAATGTTTGAATTGAGTCCTCGGGCCAGCAATGTCCTGTCCTTCTGCTGCCATTGTCCCTGTGACTTTGCAGTGTCATCTGCTCCAGAGCAGCAGGCTGGACAAAACTCAGGGAGTGGGTGGCTCTCAGATGCCCATGCTCCCTGCCAGGCTTTTCCCTTGCTTTTGGCCTCGGAATGCCTCTCACCAGCAGCATTTGCAACCATCTGACAGCTCTTCTGCTCTCTGATTCCCTAACAGGTCATGCAGATGGACCAGAAGCTGGATGACATCCTGAGCACCCTCCAGGCTCAGCTGGGGGATCAGGCACAGATGCCAGGGGCAGCCACCCCACCTGTCAGACACCCACAGACACCCACAGAGTCCCCCCAGTGACCCAGGAAATGTGAAAGCCGGGGGACAGCCAACGTGACCCTCCTGCTCTTCCATGTCTGGGTATCTCTCACTCTTGGTGTCCTCATCTGTGTCATGGGTGAAATGAAATATAAATGAAATAAATGAAAAATCTGCACTAGTAGATCAATGAGGGAAAAAAAAAAAAACCAGAAAAAAATTTTAAAAAAAGAAGAAACAGCAAGAAGCCAGCCACGACCTTAGGAGAGCACATAAGTTCTGCACCTGTTTTATTTTATTTTAGCTGAACTCTGGCAGCCAGCAGCAGCCGAGCTCCCATCCCCCAGCCCCACTTGGGCTGAGCACACAGGCACAGGGCACACTGTCAAGGGAAGCATCCCAGCCAGGGTTAGGATGACCCATTTGTGGGCACGGAAGGGGAAAAGAACTGTTCTTTTGGCATTTAATCACTAAGTTTAATGCTCACAGCATGCCCCAAAGGGGGAAAGGAGCCAGCATTTGAACATGAAACAAATGGAAATCAGTGAACAGGAAAATTAAACAGCATGTTTTGACTTCTACCAAGCAGTGAGGATCATAAGAAGGGCAGATTTATATGCTGGTGCGAATGACAAAGTAAAGACAACAGGCTACTGATTAAAAATATGGAAGTGTACACAGGCTGGTTGACATATGAAAGGCTGAAGCAGAGACTTCAGCTAATTAAAGCAAAGGGCTGCCAGTGAGATGAGATGCATGTTGGAACAGACAGGCAGGAGAGATAGGATCTGCGTAGGCTTACTTCACCAGAACACTGTAATAGTTATCAGCTACTCTGATGACTGTTATGCAAAATGTTCTCAAGCTTTTACCTTCATTCAGCAGAGGTTGTTGACTCCAGTTGCCTTAATTTTAACATAAGGAACCTGTATGTTAATTGGCTATGAGCTATCTGTGAAGCTGGGTTAAAGACATGGAGTAGCAGGGTGCTGCAGGAGGGCTGCAGCTGTGATTGAGAGTGGCAGGGCTCCTTAAAGAAAACAGAAATGCACACACTGTTGATGAAAGCTAATGGCTGTTTAAATAAACTGCTGTGTATAATTTTCAATGCTAGATTTATTTTTTGCCTTGTAATCTGGCTGTAAATCGAGTGCACGTGCTGGCTGACGTGCTGTTGTTTAGGAACACCCCTGGTGCAGGTAGCTGGGCTGGCAAGCTGCAGATGGAAATGCAGGCTGAGATGCAGGTTTAAATGCAGAGTGAAGTACAGCCTGAGCTCTGGGTGGAGCCCAGGACAAGAGGATGAACTGCTGACTTTTGGGGTGACAAAGGGCACAAAGGCAGGTGACAGCCAGCCAGGTGAATAGACACTGAGACACAGCAGCAGCTGGGAATTGCCAAACCTTGGACAACAAGGGAGATGGAAACAAGTGATGGTAGCAAGGTGGATAGACATGGAGATGGGGACTGGCCATGGGGAGACTGTGATGGGATAAAATCCCAGGATTCCTTTGCTGGGGTCTCTCCTTGGAGGCAGCAGCTTGGGGAGTTTCGGTGTCACTGCCCCAGGAACAAGTGGTTTCATGGAATGAGACACGTGGGACTCTGCCACCTCTGCCATGGCAAAGCTGGTGTGATGTGAGGGGGGAGTGAGGGGAGCCAGGCCAAGGAAGGGCCTTCAGTCCCAGAAAGTCTCTGACCTTGGGAGTGCCACTGCCAGAGAGTCCCAGAGGGAATGGTCTGACTGGGGACTTTCCTTTTAACACTGTCACCATGAAATGGATCTTACCTGGCACTTCAGAAAATGGGCAATAACAGCACTGCTGCTAAAAACCTAAATAATAAACCAGGCTAAAATGGGTGCAGTGTTACTTAGTCGAGTCTTTTTAATATATTTGCATAACCAACAATTTGAATGAGCAGAAGACTGCAGAGCAAAGACCTGATTCCTGGGAAATCCTAAATATATTCTATTCCCACTCATATCCGTGAAAGCCAAGACTGCATTGCATTTACAAGCAACCTGAAAGACTGGTCCCTTAATAAGCATTTATTTGGACAAATGAGTGGTCCATTTCAATGTAATCAAATTAGTTTCTAACTATTACCTGTCCCTTTAAAACTCTTTCCCAGGTTTGTGTGTCTGGGAATTCAAGCTTGGAAAGAGCACAATGAGACTGATTCCAATCTTTAGATTGCAGGCGCGTCTTAGACAGAATATTAATGATGTGTGAGAGGCAATAAAAAAGAAAAAAAAAAAAAGAAACAATGTGGTTTTAATTAAATCAGCTGACAAGCCGCCATTCCATCTTGTCTGATTACTGCAGAGTTACTGAACATGACCAAATACAGCATGTAACATGGGAAAAACAGTAAATAATCATTGCCAGAGCATTGAGCTGCTCCTGGTTTCAGTCAGGGTCATGAGCTTCTGCAATATTCCTTCATAAAACCTCCCTGACTGTGGCCAGCCTAAATGGGCAACTGGACAGCAAATTAGGGTTAACACTGTTTCATCAGCCACAGGTAAAAGAAAATAAATCTGATTGGAGATCCTTTTGCCACAGCGATTCTTAAGGGGAGCAGTGCAGCTTTCAGCAGAAGAGCTCAGGGACAGCTGTGGCCAACACGAGGTGACATTTCCTTCTGCAACACTGCAGATATTTGTGTGAGGGATATCCTGATCACTTGGTGGACCAAGTAATGCAACAGTGTTTTACTTACTCTTCAGCCTCAACAGAAGTGTTTAGGCACTATATATATAGCAACACCTACTACTCTGAAGTGCCTGGAAAATCCAGCTGAATAGAACACAAGTGGTCACAGCTATGGTGAGTGTCAGAAGGGATGAGTGGGTGGGAGGAGAAGATAAAGAGGCACGCAGTGGTCCCTCCAGAAAAACAGAATGTGTGCCAGACTGTCTGTACGCATGTGTGTGTCAACATGTGTCTGTTTTAAACTCAAGCCAGGGTTTCCCCAGAAAGTCTTGAGTGAGGCCAGTGCTTGAACCTTCACAGGTTTGAAAACCCAGCAGTGCTGGCCATACATCCACTTTACAGCTGGCACTGTGACACCACAGCGTGGCAGGACCTGTGACCAGGACACTCCCCATTGCCAGAATGGAGAGGTGAGGATGTGGCTTGAGCAAATTGCAGGAGGAAGGAAGGAGCCTGGTGGGAGACACCCATTTTCACAACATATGAAGAGATTAATGGTAAAAAAATTCAAGCAACATAGCTTAGCCAAACTTAAGAAAATCTCCACACCCACACCTAATACAAAAGTCCATTTGCCATCCAGCAAAATCTTTCTGATTGCCCAGGGGGAAAAATACACAGAATTAGCACTGATGTGGCCACGTGGTGACACTTTCTGACCTTTCCACTGAGCAAAGATGGTTTGGTAAGGCATACAAACTGTATATTAATGCATTTGCACTTGGCCTTGTTGAACTGGATGTGGTTCTCATGGTCCCACTTCTCAGGCCTGTCCAGGTTCCTCTGGATAGTATCAGCTCCCTCAAGCCCATCCATGCCTGGCTCAGCTTGTTGTCACCTACAAACCTGCTGAGGGGGCACTGAGGAAGATATTAAGTAGTTTTTTTCCCAGTACAGAGCATTGAGGCAAGTCCCTCATTGCTGGTTTCCATTTTGACATTGATCTGTAAACTGAAACTCCATCCAGACAATTCCTTGTCCATCCATATTTCTCCAATTCTGAACTAGCAATGGCAAGGGGGAATCTACCAAAGGCCTTGAAGAAGTGCAGGTAGTTGATCTCAGTTGTCACTGCTGTGGAAGGTAAGTGGATTAGTCAGGCATGACTGCGCTTGCTGAAGTCGTGTTCAGGCTCATTAATCTCCTCCTTGTCTTCCATACAATTCAACAGAACTTCTAGAAGGATCTGTCCCATGATCTTACTGGGCACTGAGGTGAGGCTGGCTGGTCAGGAGCCCCAGGGTCCTGCTTGTTCCCCCATGTAAAAACACACGTGCTACCATGCATTCCCCCTTGGCAGTGGCTCCAACACAAGGCAAAATACAGAAAGCATTCCCAGGGGAAATCCATGTGTGTGTTTTTATCTCCATTTGTACTGACTCTGGTTCACTGGTGTTCACCCCACTCATTCCTGCTGGATGGGAGTGCAGCTGCTGAGCAGGGAGCACTCACAAGGTCACTCCTACAGCCCCTCCTCTGTGACAGTAAAACAGTGACAATGTTCTACAGCCCATGAGGTTGTCAGCACTGCAGCCACGTCTGCACTGGTCCCATTTTGCCTTTGGACCCAGAACAGAGGCACAGCCCAGGCAGCCAAGGTCTCCCAAGGCCACAGGATCAGCAGGGGCAGCTGTCAGCAGTGCAGTTCACCAGTGCATCAAAAGACAAGAGTGTAGATCAAGTAAAGATGAGATTCCTTTTTTCCAAAAAATCACATGGCTTTCTACCTGATCCAGTTTCACTGTGGAAGATACACGGTGTCCTCTCTTACCAGAGACATCGACACCAACCCAAACAAGATTTTCCACATTCCTTCTAATAATGCATGACATCCTGAAGTCTGCTGTCTGCCTGTGATGATGCAAGATGCTCAGAAGTCATTACAACAAAGCCCCAGGGGATTATTTTCTCATTTCCATAATTACATAGTCAGTAATAATATCACGAACCAATCTTATCTCAAAACATGTACTCAGATCTCTAATGCTGATAGTTCTTAAGTGATGTGTACTCTGATCTTTAATGGTGATATTTCTTAAGTGATGTGTGGGATTAAAGTCCTGTGTATGATAAGGCTGCAGCAGTGAGGGAAATAAAAGTTCAGCTTCCATTAGCTGGGGGTTTTCATTCCCTAGAAAAGGTAACTGTGCCCCCAGAACAGATGATGTGGGGGACAGATCACAAATCTGCCGCCTCATCTGGAACACTCTCTTCATCTCTGGAGAGTAAAAAGTGAGAAAAGACCCTCCAGACACAGCTGCCCCTTTCAGAAATGGGGCAGCAAATCCAGCAGCCCTGGATGTTTTCATCCCACTGCCTGGATGTGGTATCACCAGAAGAACCCGTGCTGGAAGTCCCTCCAATCTCTGTAGGACGAGGACAGCTACATTCCCTGCTTTTCCCTTAGTATGGCAAATCAGCAGGGTTCTTTTGGTGCCTCTTTTCTCAGTAGCTCAAGAAGTTTTCTCTTCTCACTGATGTTTCCAGCCTAAGCCCTGAAGGGTCTGGACTGACAATTCATTTAGGAAGTGCTGTATCTCAGGCAGCCCTAAACAGCAGAGCTCATTCAGCACTCTTTTGAACAAACTGAACAATGTGTCTAAAAAGAAAACCATGCTTTAGGGAGTAAAATGCCACCAGGTAAAGAACCCCCAGCATCAAAACTGCATTATTTAGTATTCTGAAGGAGTACATACTAGAATCAGTGTAATGGCCAAGGAAAAGGCTGGTGAAGGGCCCAGGGTAGATCTTTCTCAGACATCATTTCCAGCTGCAGCATAGCCCAGCCAAGATGGCACTGTGCTACCTGCATGGTAGGAAAAGGTTTGAGTCCCTCTCAGCAACCTCTTTTCTCAGGTAAAGCAACCTCTGCTTAGTCAAAAGACACTCCAAGGTAGCTGGAAATATCAGACACCAAAAGAGAGGAAAAAAGTCTAATTAACTAATGGTCATTATCTCTATTCCCACATCCTTTTCTAACCTCCAGAGGATCCTAGCTCTGGACTGGATTCCTGTTGCTGGGGATGTGCTCCCTGCAGTTCCCTCCCTGCCATCCAGCAAACAGTGCCTGTTAGACAGGAAGGAGAGAAACAGCCAAGAGCATCCTCCCCACAAGGAGCTGTTTTGCCAAAACACTTACTGCCTTGTGTTTAGCCCTCCCTGTGGCTCCCAAATGACTCTGTAAAAGTACAGTGTCTCTGCCTGGATTCCTGGCTGAACACACGTTTGTCTCAGGGCTTAGATTGGCACATGTGGGTTTGTGAATAGAATTTTAACTCATCTTCATTCTGTTGTTTGATCTCCCCCTGGGGTGGGTGGAACTGCGTGCAAGGGACTGACCTGACATAAGCAGCAAGGGGAAGGGAATTTTTGAGCTCTGTGATTGATGTAACTGCTGTACCTTGTCTGGCCAATCAGGCAGGCAAAGGTCACTCTTTCTTTAACCAAAGAATCATAATTTTCAACAACAATGCCTTGAAGCGTTTGCCTGAGACTCACCTCAGCCTTAGAGGGGAAAATTCACATTTCAAAAATACCTGTTGAGCATTACTTATGCTTAGCCAAAATGCAGCTTTTCTTCTTTACAGCTGTGTACCTTGGGTTGTTAGCACCCTGGTCAGCAAGGCCCTTCAAGCAACCAATGATCCTGGTGGAGGGGCTGGGGTTTGTATCATCAACATGAGGGGGAAAGGGGACCACTTGTGTAGAAGAACAATTGCCTGATTCAGTGTCCTTATTCCCTTTGTTTTCTTTGCTGAGAATTTTCCCCTTTCTGAAACACTAAACAGCTCATTTCTTCCAACCTAAACAAATGATCCTGCCAGCTACCGATTTTTCCCTCCTTTCTCTTTCTTATGGTTGGTATTGTAAGTACAAGTTTCCATTTGTTTGATAGCGGGTCAGGAGGCCAAGAAGAGCGAGGGACAGCTCCTGTTACACATCAGTGCTGTGCCAAACTCTTCAGTTTGGCTACACCGTGAGTGTTATCACTCTTGGACTCCACCAGCCCCACTGGCCAGCTCCCAGGGAGCTGCTGCTTTGGCTGGAGACAGGCAGAGTGCAGTGGGGGAGCAGCAGA